CGGAGCCCCACGGTTAGCAGACTCACCCTTGAGAGGCTACCTGAGATGTGGAGCTGGCAACATAGCCCAGCCTCCAGGCCAGCCAGGATCCTGCCTCTGAAACTGATGGCTGCATAGAACCATCATGGCCGCCCATGGACAGCTCTCCATGCCATGGCTGAAATGCAGTGCCCTTTGGAAACCACCCCAGTCTGTGTACATGCCCACATCTTGTGCTAGTGTATCCCGTATACTAAAAGTAAACTCATTTTTGAGCTGTGATCCTTATGGAGTCATCAACATGCCACCATCCACATAATGGAGGGAGGTGTCAGTAAGTATGGGGGGGGGGGATACCCAACTTTAGAGAAGTACAAACATAATTTTTGAGGTGGGGAAGAGTAGTGGGGAAAAGAACCCAAAAACAGCTCAGTAAGGACTGAGCGTTTGATGGCTATGGAATGCTAGCAGATTGTGGAAGGCGGGGAAGGCCTGATTGGACCGCCATGGAACTGCTGTCTCTTGCAGAGGATTCTGGGATATTTCCCAGGTACCCCCTAAGGTCAGTGGAGCTCAGGCAAGGCCTACGGGCCTCATTGTTATATGACCCTGAGGGCCAAACTAGATGTGGTGGTGGCAGTGAACCCATGACCCTTTTCACATCTCTGCCATATGGGATGGGATTAGGGTAGTAAGAGGAGAATGAGGTACAGTTCTCATGTCTTAACACCTCAGACCATTGCCCCAGAATATGTATTAGTTATTGATCTGAAGTACTTTTATCTCACTGCTCAGCTAAACAGTCTCCTAGAGCTGCTTCCAAACAATTACGAACTAGGTGGTCTCTGCTGTAAGGGTTGCAAGTGAAAAAGTCATAGCACACAAGGAAAAAAGAATGGGTGTGGAAGAGGAAAGATATGGAATAATGTTTTACAGGGCTGGTGGAGTAGCCTTGCTTTACATCTCATCTCTCTTAGTGAGTTGGTTACTGGTGGAAACCACTTTTTGTCTCCAGTTTCCAGCTTGCTTCAAATATGATAGTTGGTAAAAGCAAAAAAAAAAGAAAAGTGACTCTGGAGGCTGTGTGGGGTTGTGGGGTGCGATTTGGAAAGGTTTGATGCACTGGTGGCCCCTCTTCTTAATGTTTCCTTTGCTGTTAAAGCCTGCTTTGTAGGCGATCTGTGCAGACACAGAAATGGTGGCCCTGCCATGTGGGACTTGGCCTGAAACACCCCCTTCCCCAGCCCATTTGATTGGGGCGGGCAAGCGATGCATCTGATTTTCTCAGTAACAGGCCCTGGTAAGCATCCAAGGAACTCCAGAGTTCCTGGAACAACAGTCTGGAAAAAACAGCAACACACATACACACACCAGTTCTAAAGGTGTGAATGTACCCTTGATACTTCTGTCTTTTTTAAAGAGAGGCATTACAGATACGTTTGGAATTCTTCTTTATCCCATTCCTTCTCCACTCAGCCTGTTGGTCTTTCGACAGCTGCAGCCCCAGCGGGAGGAAGCCCTCCACAATGGTACCAAAATAACTAATCCCACGTTTGTTGGAATAAAACTATCCCCCCCCCCCCGCCCCGGTATGCGTTCCATGGCATTTATGGAGCATTTCTCCAGCAATTCCAGGCTCGGTAACACAGAGTCCTGAGCCATTTGTCCTTCTGATGTTCCACCCCCAGCCATATTTACCCCCTCTCACTCCCCCAAGACCATCTCACATTTGTACTGGTCTTCCCTCCTCCCCCAAGACACCCCCCACTGGGCCCAAGCAGCCCGTAGGAGACCCAGCTGCCAAGAGAGAACACCTGCCAGACATCTAGGCTCCGGCCTCCATAGGCTTCCACATCTCCCTACAAAGGACTCCCCCGCTTCCATCCCTCTGCTTTCCCCCCACCCCAACCACCGCTTTTTGCTTTATATCAGCCACCTGTTTATTATGTTCCCAGCTATTTCCATCCCCAACAACAGGTGGGGCCTGTCCCCCTGGGGCTTGTGTCTGCTAGGTTGGAAAGGGGTCTGGTTACACCACGAGAGGTTTGGGCTTGAGGCAGTTGGGAGTTGGGGGGGGGGGGCAGCAAGGGAAGCACGACTTATGGGTCTATTCCCAGCTGTGGAAGGACATTAATATGTCTGGGATAGAACAAGGCAGGCTGGAAGCCAGGACTCCTGGGTTCTTGGAGAGGCCCAGGGCCGAGAGTGGCTGATTCTCTTGCTAACCTAGCCTCTCCGACACGGAACATGGAAGACAGTAGCCTGGCACTCAGCACGACTGAATCCACAAGCAAGCCTACCACATCCACGCCTTTCTCCACTTTAAAATGTGGGGGGGAAATAGAATCAGGATTTGGCAGGAAGAAATTAGTGTTTTCAGCTTGTTTAATAACACAGCTCCTGCAGATTTTCAGGGAGTTGCTTGCTTCTCCACAGTCCTCTCATTTTTCTTCCACATTTCATGGGGAGAGGGAAATATGTACACACACACCAAGTCTTTCCTGCTGACAACTGGCTTTTGTCACACCGTGTACACTGCAGGTTCCTTTGCAGTCCAACTCTCTCTCTCTCTCTCTCTCTCTCTCTCTCTCTCACACACACACACACACACACAGAGAGAGAGAGAGAGAGAGAGAGAGAGAGAGAGAGAGAGAGAGACAGAGATTCACATGCCCTGCTTCATATTTCATGGTAATGGGCACTGCAGAATCTTCAAAAGAGAAGATGGCAAAGGGCTTGGCTTTTTCTCAAAGCTGGCCCTGCTTGCTTTCTGATCCAGAAATCTCTGGCCTGGCCTGTGTGTGCAATGGAATAAAGTGACCAGCTTATGACATGGTAAAATAATGGGCTGTAGCACTTCAGGGAGTGCGTAAGGAATCACATGTTTTAATGATCCACACGCTCACAAACCAGATGCGAAACCGCTGTACATGGAAATTCAGTAGAGCAGGGAGATTTCCCCTCATATTCTTTTTAATGCACTGTATTGTGCCAGCAGGAAGTTGTGTGTGCATGTGGCTTGTTTGTTCTAGATGTAGAAGCATTCAGGAATGGCATTCCAACTTGCAGTACGAAGTGATGCGGTCCATTCCATTGCCTCATTCTGCTGCAGGGCCTTAATCCCAGAGGACAGGTTGTGAAGCGACAGGAACATGCTCTTGCCCAGGCTCAGAGACACACTGACCTTTATTGTTATCAGCCTGTGTGCGCGCCAGCGCTGGCTCGGCCTTGAAAATGGATCCTCCAAAAGAAGCGAGCCCCGTTCTGTGGGTGTTATTTGAGGGCCCATGGAGACGCTGTCTCCCACTAGGACACGGTGCTGACCTTGCCAGAGGTCAGAGAGATGGACTGGAGGGTCCTCCTCATCTTATCGCTCCCTCTTACTCTGGACCCTTTGTGCTTTGCCTGCACTTGACTTTCTTGGCATGGGCGATTAAATGTGTCTTTGAGCTCTTTGATCCTCCTCTCCCAAATATAAGATCTAAAAGGGTCTCCTGTGTTTTTCTTGCCTCCAGCCAAGGCTCATGCGACACCCTCCACACCGATTTCCTTTGAATCTTCAAAGCCTTCGCATGCTTTAACTGATTACACATTTAGCATCTCTAATCTCCTTTTTGGCCCCCACCCTGGAGGCAACCTTGGGATGTGTCCCTCTTCTTTCAAGCTTGTCTTGTCACGCTTGCTCTGATGTTCCTCCAGCTCCAGTTTTCAGGAATGGGGGGAGGAGGGGCTGCTGGAGGTCTCTTGTGTGCGCCCAGCGGAAGTCCTGCGGTCACCATCGACTTTCTCAACAAAGCAGCATTCTTCAGTGATTTGGGGGATGGGGACATACATTTAAATATTCCCGCTGCAGGGATGCATATTGTACCCCAGTTTGTTTATTTATTACCTTTCTACAGTGCTGGCCTGTAACAGTTCGGGCTCATGCTAGGCAAGATTAGACGGAAAAATGGCCCGCAACTCCCGGCATGCCCCAGGCAGCCACGCCGGCTGTTTTTCTGTCCACACATGCATCAGATTGTGCTCATAAGGCTGTAAAATCCAACAACATGACAAATGCAATCGACAACCTGTAAAGGATTAAAACTACAGTACAAAGCTAAAATATGAACCAGCAGCAGTGTAAAGGTCTTTTTTAAAACCTGTGTTTGAAATAACAAAAGCTAAAATGCACGGGGAAATGAAAAGGTGCCAACAAGTGCCCAACATAGCAGTTAGGTGAGCTTCACTGGTGCCATGATGGAAAAGGACATTTCCTTGGTAGCACCCATGAATCAGAGTGAAGTGCCTGGATCAGGTGCCAGCTATTATCATGACATTACACTTGTATCCCACATTTTATATTCTTCCTGCAAGGAGTCCAAAGGAGCATACAAGTTTCTCCTCCTTCTGGAGCCTGGTCAGGCTATAAGCGGCTGGCCCAAAGTCACCCAATGAGCTTTATGGCTGGATCTTGTGAGTCCCCACCTGGACACAGCTGGCGGGAGTTCTAGGCGGTTTCTTCTGTCCGCACTTGCAGTCTAAGGCTACCTAGGATGTGGCATTAAGATTAGGCGTATTCTTGGGAATGGGATCGGAAGACCTTGGTTCAAATCTCCACTTGGCCATGAACTGCAACGGGGCGGCCTTTGGCCAAGTACTGGCTGCCCAACCACAGAGGGCTGTTGTGAGGGTGAAGGGGGATGCCTGTGTGTGTGAATGCAAGTGCAGCCCTAAATTCTTTGGTAGAACTGTTTTTTTTCCATTTTAAAAAAAATGAATAACGAATGAATAAAACTTAAACTATTAGTAATAGTTTAGTAATTATATTTACTATCAACAGTATGTTGTTTTACTATTGCTACTATTTGTAAATTGTATGCATGCTTTGTATAGACACAATTAAATTACATATAAGCTTTTTTAGTCTTCTTCAAAACCTCTTTGGGGTTGCAAATCAGATAATCCAGATGTGTGCAAGAAGAAGAACGGTCTCACTGACTGTCCTTTTCTTCCTCCCGCTCCTCTGCTCTGATCCTCAGAGTTGTCCGAATGTTTTATGGTGAATGGAGCTGATTACCGGGGCTCGCAGAACAGGACTTCACTGGGGAGCACAGGACGGCCGTGCCTCTACTGGAACCAGACACGGGAGCATGCCTACAACACGGCCAAGTATCCCCACGGCGAGTGGGGTCTGGGGAGCCACAACTATTGCCGGAACCCAGACGGTGATGTGCAGCCCTGGTGTTACATCTCGGAGAACGAGGAAGGGATCTACTGGAAGTACTGTGATATTCCCACCTGCCACAGTGAGTGTGGGAAGCTGGGTGGGCCGTGTGCGTGCGTGTTCAGGTGGGGCAGTCAGCAGCGGTGAGGTGCGGCAGACGCCTCAGATCGGAAGGAGAATTCAGCCAAGCCTGGATGCAGTCCCAGTTCCTTGGTTTTGAGGGCCCTTGCTGAACACCTCTCAGCGGGTGCCTGGCTTCTTAGTGCCATTGCGGCCAGCTGCTGTTGCTTCTTGCCTTGCTTGCCACCCGTCCCACCACTGGCTTGCTTGGCAGGCAGAGTGGCAGTGAGTGAGTGAGTGGGTCTGGACCCCTCCCGGTCCTACGTCTCAGTAGCACCATGGTCTGAGCCGGAGCAATAGGCAGGCGAATGGGCAGGTCGCAGTGGGGAGGAAGCTCAACCCCAGGGAGCTCTTGTCCAAGGTCCCTGCTGGGGTGAGGGACCTTGGCAGGTGCCCGACCACTCCTACCCTTGATACCAGCCCTGGATGGACGCCCAGGGGAGCTGGGGATGGACACGCAGAAGTGCCACTGGGTTTGAGGTGGCCCAGCACCAGGTATTTTCTAGCAGGGAGCTTCCTCTGGCCGATGATTACTTACCACTCTGCCAATCCACCCAGCCTAGTTTGATAGTTAGAGTTGGCATCTCCTCTTCCTCCTCCTCTTCTTACCATGCCACCATTCTGCCAAAGGAAAGTGCTGTGCTGGCCAGCCACGTTTACAGCCTCACATGTACTATTCCGAGTTTTTTATTTATTGCCTTTCATTAGCAGCTTGCTGAACCCAACATACACTACCACTGGAGGAGGCTCAGCTCTCTGATGCCTTCCAAGACAACACCTGACTGGTAATTTAAAATGGCGGGCCCAGGGCCACAGTCTGACCTGCTCTGTGGCACTTTCTCTTAGCAGTCTGGCACAGCAAGGGGAGGCACTGTTGTCCCTGCCCGTGGGCCCCTGTTGGGGGCCCTCTGTACATGCAGGCCAGGCTCTCTTAGAGATATTCTAGTTCCCTTTCCTGAATATCCAGGAATTTTGTTTTTTAAGGAACTCTCTAGCTCATTGGTCCCTCCATCTATCTCAAAGATTAGGATTCTACTTTTAATTCTGGGAAATTTCCACACTGGTATATCTCTAAAAATAAAATTTGCCCAATGCCAGCTCTTCTTTTACTTTGTATCCCTGTTCAAGACCAGGACCGGCTCAAGATACTGAGGTGAGGTGAAGGACAAAGTGCCCATTTCTCATACAGATGCTGACTGGACTGGCTGGGGGTACCTCGTCTCAGCACTGGCAATGGGAACCACCCTTCATGGCTTCTTAGGAAATCCGGCCACTTTAGCTTAGGAGCACAGCTCCGGCCTCCATGACTTTGCCTCCGCTTGCTTAGCATCCTGCCTGGTGCCTGATCGTTGCCCACTCAAAAAGGGCCTCATCTGCTGTATTAGTGGCCCACCGGGCATCACATGGACAGCTGGCTGCCCCTCTGCCCACTTGCTTCGTGAGTGGACTTTCCCAGCACTACAGAATGTTTTATTAGGAGAGGATGGAAAGGTGGGGCAGCCAGCCAGCTCAAGAGAGCAACAAGGAAACTTCACTCCAGCTCAGGAGGATGGGAGTGGCTGGGATGGGAATGCTGCCACCCTCACCATCTGCTGCCCCAGTAGGGCTAATGGTTGCCCCTGCTTCAAAACTTGCCCTTTCTGGGAATCCTTTGGTACGATGCCTTGGTCCAGCCTTCTCTAGCCTGGTGTCCTTCAGACATTTTGGATGGCATTTCCCAGCCTTCCTGACCATTGGCTATGCTGGTTGGAGCTGATGGTGTTGCCATCCAAACCATAAGGTGGGTGCCAGGTTGAAGAAACCTGCTCCAGTTCCCGCAGCCTTCTGCAATTCAGCTTAAATGCATGCAATTCAAATACATGCATCTTCTTGCGCAGCTGCTCAGTCTGCCTCTACTTTCTGTCACGTCCTCTGTTGACTCCTGTGCAGCAGATACTAGAGGAAAATCTAGAATCCTCTAGAATTAAAAGAAATGTTTGCAATAGCTCAGAACCAATGCTTTTTGCTGGTACAAGCACAGAAGGGAGTAAATCTCGTGGAACACAATAGAATTGTACGTGGGATTGTACTGAAAAACTTAGGATTGTACTGAAAAACTTAGGAAGAAAAGCTCCAACTGGACCTTTCTGAAAAGGATGTTCCAAAGCAGAGTGCAACCACCAAAAAGTGCCACCTGCCTTGTACTGATTCAAGAGAGAAGATTTGGCAGTCTTTCTGGGCCACTTGAATGTAGCATATGTATCTTGTTGATGTATGTAAACTTAAATACAAATTATTTTTTATGCAATGGGCACTTGAATCACATCACTTAACTCACATTTAAGATCTTTTCACCCCCCCTTCTGCTTTTCATCTCCCCCCACCCCAAAAAAAAAAAAACAAAAAACCCTCAGTATTTCTGAGTACATGGCTGACTTGGATATGGACAACTGCGTAACTAGAATCTTTTTGTCTTTCCTCCAGTGCCTGGTTATGTGGGTTGCTTCCTAGACTCTGGGAAGCCCCCAGCACTGAGTGGGAGCAGCGGCACTTCCACCAAGCTGACGGTGCAAGTTTGCCTCAGCTTCTGCCGTAAGCGAGGCTACAAGGTAAACTTTCTCTCAGTTTATTTCTTCTGTTGACAGCCCATTTTGTCCCTCTTGCAAGGAACCCAAGGAGGCTTACATATTCCTCCCTTTCCGCAGTTTATCTGCACAACAACCCTGTGAAGTAGGTTAAGAGTCTTTGAGTGGCTGAAAGCCACCCACTAAGCTTTATGGCTGGGTGGAGATTAGAACCTGGATCTCTTTAGTCCCCTTTCCACCTGACTTTCATAGCTGTGGATACCTGCCGCTGTAGGTATCACAGGCAAGACTGGCTCCAGGTTTTGATGGGCCCTTGGCCAAGGCACCCTTCTTAGTGAGTCCACCTTCTCACCACCATTGTCACCAGGTTGGGAGTGGCATCTGCTGTCCTCATTCTCGTCACCATCACACATTCAGTCGGTACACATGTCTTCACTGATCCAGGGTGCAGAACTTCTTCAGCCTTGCCCCCTGCCGTGACTCCTGCTGCTTGAAACAATTTAGGGACTTTGATCACATCAAACTTCTTCCCTGTTTCCAAACCATCCGCCTGATCCTCTGCTCTGAGTAACAGGGGAGCTCAGCCACCCAAGCAGCATTTATTTTGGAGTTCCAGGTGATCGGTTTTTATCAGTGCGACAAATATACAGTTGTTGCCCTTTTGCTGCACTTGGTTTAGAGATCTGCCCTGGTGCTTATGCTTCTGTCTGATGCTGCATTTTCTGATCATGACATGAGCAGGTTCTCGTTTGGTTTTTGTACCTGAAAAATGAAGGTGTTGGCATCCATTTAGTCAGTCTCACAGCAAGCACCTAGTGCCTGGGACGCTTGATGCTATTTTGGAATCTTTCCCTTGTTTTCAGCAGTCACTGTAAAAATGCAGACTAAAAGCATGTCTTCAAACTCGCCAGCTATGGATGGAAATGTAAAAAAATCTGCGAGAATTATTCTACCCTGTTGCTTATTATAAACTCACTTCAGCATGACAGCCTAGATGTTTTCGACTAAACACCCACAATCATTTGCTGCTGTCTATTTTGGCTGGGGATGATAGGAATTGTAGACCCAAATGACTGGAGGGTACCATGCTGCCTGGCATTTAGAGTGACTGGCCAGCACTTGGGATTAAAAAATACTTCTGAAAATGGTACTGTAGTCTATTAAAATGACTGAACTGGCCTAAATGGCTTGGGACCAGGATACCTAAAGGAACATCTTTTCCCCTACATGCCCTCCCAGCCCTTAAGATCTGCAGCAGAGGCCCTGCTCTGGGAACCCTCCTTGAAGGAGATTAGGAGATAATCTTCTCGGAGGAGGGCCTTCTCTGCAGTGGTACCCCAGCTATGGAATGAGCTCCCCAGAGAGGTCTGCCTGGCACTGACACTATATGCTTTTCAGCTTCAGGTCAAGACCTTTTTATTTTCCTGTAATTTCAGTGTTTAAATATTTTAACTATTTTTTATGCTCAGTTGTAGATTATTATGGATTATTATGTGTTTATATGTATTCATTGGGTGTTTGGTTTGTAAGCCATCCAGAGATGCACAATGTAATTGGACGGGATAAAAATACCCAAATAAATAAATTAAATAAACTGGCTTTCACTGAAACATACGAAAGGAGCATTTTAATTCATTTTTAGACAAAAAAGGTCTGCACCTCCCAGCATTCCTCAGCCTTAAGTCTAAGGGTTGTTCCCTAAATTACTTCTAGATTTTATTTGCATTTATTTACACCCTAACCCCCGGTCTTAGTTGCAGGCTTTGCAAGGACCTATTGGCCACTGTCTGTGATGGGAACGGCAAAGCATTTCTCATAGTCTCAATCTGTTGTGTGACTTTTCTGTTTTTCTTTTCTAATTTAATTTGAGTTGTGGTTTATTTTTAATGACCTGTTGCTGAGTGCTTCCCCACTTTCCTAGTCCATCCATGCAGCATTCATTATCAACTAGAAATGTTGTATTAAAATTAACCCCAAATCCTTTCTAGAAGCATTGACCCCAGTCCAAAGCTTAATTCCCACCGCTGTCCAATCTAAAAAGCTACAATTTAAAGGTATTACTGGTGTTCGTGGCTTCTATGTCCAGATGATCCTCTAGCAGATAGGTTGTGTTCTTAGAAAAACCTTATTGGATCAAAGCTAAAAACTGGGGGAAAGAAATACATGTGCGTACCCATCAAAGTGAAGCCTCTCTTAAGCCACTTTCAACTTACCTATGAACTATTTTCTTTTCCCAACCTTGCTTTCTCTGGGTCTGAGTCCATTTATTATTACACTATTCACAAGCTTAGCCATGCAGTCAACATGTGTTTATGGAGACAAGTCTCATCTTCTGCACAAACAATTTTCCCCTCTCTCTCTGTTCTCTGAAGTTTGCTGGGGTAGAAGCTGGTTATGCCTGTTTCTGTGGCCATGAAGGGGACGTCCGACGAAGCCAACCAGTGAGTGCTGTGGAATGTGACCAAGTCTGTTTTGGCAAGTCCAGCGAGTTGTGTGGGGGAGATGGGCGGATCGGCATATACAATGGTAAGTGTGAGAAACTTAGCATTTTAAACATTTGTTGGAAAAGATGTGTGTGTGCACGCACACACACACATACACACACACTTGATGTAGATGCAGGGTAATCCTTTCCCATAGTACTAAAAGATAGGGAGTGGGTCATCCATAGAAATCTGGGAGTAGGGATAAGATTAACTTCAGAATGCTTATTTCGAGACAAAATACTGGATTTCAATTTATTCAGCGTTCACTGCAGGAGTGAGAAATCCCAAAAAAGCTCTAGGTGGAATACAGTGGGTAACATGCAGGCCTATGGTGGCTTGTCTGGCTATTTTTTTGTGGCTTCCCCCCATACCCTGCTACTGTAGCTTTGGAAGTAAATTCCTGGGAGCTTCCCAGCAATACAGTTTTAAAACAAGGTATGTGGTCCATACATGTCTCATTTTACAGCAAGCTTATGGTGGGGTTTTTTTGCTGTGCAACCCTGAATGTTGGGAGAAGGGCCTCCATCACCAATGGGTTTGGGAGAGGAATTGACTGCCAAATGCTCAGAAGTTGCCCACCCCTGATATTAGGGATTTCTCAAGGACAGATAAAAGAAAGTATATGTTAAGTTAATGAACAATTAAAAAATCCTATACTTACTTTTGTTGTTGTTGTTGTTAGTTGCGAGGTCGTGTCCGACCCATCGCGACCCCATGGACAACATTCCTCCAGGCCTTCCTGTCCTCCACAATCCCTTGGAGTCCACCCAAGCTCACACCAACTGCTTCAGTGACTCCATCCAGCCACCTCATCCTCTGCCGTCCCCTTCTTCTATTGTGCCCAGCATTAGGCTCTTCTCCAGTGAGTCCTTCCTTCTCATTAGGTGGCCAAAGTATTTGAGTTTCATCTTCAGGATCTGGCCTTCTAAAGAGCAGTCAGGGTTGATCTCCTCTAGGACTGACTGGTTTGATCGCCTTGCTGTCCAAGGGACTCGCAGGCCTCTTCTCCAGCACCTATGAATAGGCATGCACAAGGTTGTGCTATATTTTGCACTTCACTGCCACAACATATGGTGAAAATCCCCAAGTCTAATGCCTTTAAAAACAGAATTAGACAGATTTATCATGAAATAGAGTTCTCTCCAATTGACGAGCACAGAGAAGTGTCATGTGTTCAGGGACCCTATGCTCTCTCTCTCTCTCTCTTGCTCTGTGTGTGTGTGTGTGTGTGTGTGAGAGAGAGAGAGAGAGAGAGAGAGAGAAAGAGAGAGAGAGAGGGAGAGAGAGAGAGAGAAACAGAATGCATTGCGAATGAGCTTTGCACATTTCTGGGTTTAGACTAGGAAGACTTTCCCAAGCTGCTTCCAAAGTGGATATCATTTGGTTCTGTCCTTCCAGTTTCATGTTCTCAACATCTGGATTGCATTAATTTATTTATTTTTAACCAACATTGGTTTTGTAGGGTTTCTTTTTCCATTTTCGTGATTTCTCAGACACAGTTGGCTTGTTTTCCAGTTTTGACTATAAGGGATATTAAAGCATGGTGTCTCAGCTTAACAGCTTAGTATTCCTTTCTTTTTAAAAACTGGTTTTAAACAATAGCAGCACCACACACATTGTCTCAGTCACCTTTACAATGATGTTTGCAGTGTATAGTTTCAGCACTTACAGTATTTGGCATAACATCATTATAGAATGATATACTAATATTATGCTGCATATGATAATTAAATCGCGCAGTTTGGCCATCCCATTTGCCATTCAAAATTACTGATAATCCTGGAAAGCAAGGCTAGCAATGACTACTAGTCATGCTGGCTGTATGCTACCTCCAACAGTGTTGGAGGCAGTATACTGGGGCAGACGTGGAGGTGCTACTTCACACGTGTCCTGCCTGGCTACTGTCAGAAAAGAATGCTGGATAGCTCTGACCTTTGGTCTGATCAAGCAGACTTTTCTTATGGCGTTTTCCACATATTTATCCCCTCCTGTCTCCGATCCATGCAGCTTTAGTTCCATCTTATCCTCACTACAACCCTGTAAGGTAGGTTAGGTGGGAGAGAGGGAGCAGCCCAAGGTGTGCCCAGGATTACCAGTGAGCTTTGTGACTGAGCACATTTAAACCTTAACTCACTGCACACCACACTTCTCTTCAATATAAAATACATTTACGGCACTTTGTATTCTATCAGTGCTGCCCTATTTCTGATAATGAATGTGTACTTTTTCTGAATTAAAACTGAAGTCACATTTCATTCTACTATCTGCTCCCGTTTAGAGTGTATCTGATTAAGTCTACCTGCTGTTTTAGTGATTCACTGTTCTGGGCAGAGTCATATATTCTAACAGCAGGCAATTTCATAGTAGCCAGGTTTGCACATCACAAAAAGCTATTGTGAATTTTTGCCATTGTGATCTGTCTTGTTGTTGGAACCCAGTTGTGGTGTTTTAGCACAGTATGTTTGGTTTCCTGAAATCACAGAGAGATTCAATGGTTTGTTCCAAGGTTTCCACATTTCTCTGTGACAGCTCATAACATCAGGACCTGGTTACTTCCATGTTACTGTTGGTGGTGAAGATATACCATATACCATAGAGTCCTGTGGAAAGAGCTGCAATGGAAGAGGCCGCTCTAGGCATCCAGTCTTTACTAACCCCTGAACCCTAGCAGTACACAGATCATCACTCCCTTTGTTCTTATTGGCTGAACAGTGTGCCCATTGCCCTGTTTACTGTATGAGACAGAGGAAAACTGAGGAATGTATGGAGGGAGGAGAGGGAATAATGACCAAAGTGTTTATTTTATTTAATTTTTTAAAAAACTTTGGGGGCTGGAGTGTCTAGGAAGCATTATGGAGATTCAGGCATGCTCAGGAAAGGGAAGGGAGGGAACCTTGGCAGATCAATAAAGAAGAGGCAGCTGAGCTTTTTAAGGAACAATACAGTGCAGAAGGGGGTTTTGCTTGGGATGGGAGGGCAGAGTGAGGAGCATGGTTATTGTGTTGCTGTAGAAACCATGAGACCACCTGAGCAAAAATCTGTGCACTTGAGAAACAGCATGGTGTTTTCTGCCATGATGTGTGACCCTGATGTATCTCCACGTTAATGGTGAAAAACTGATGCTGAAGCTAATTGGAAGGAAATGAGGTCAAAGTGGTGAATCATGCAGAGATGCAGTGGGCAGCCTCCTGTAGGGGTGGGTTATTCCAGCACATCAGAAATGGTCCACAATCCTATCTTGTACCCCCAACAGCATTAGTGCCCTCCAGTTAGAAGGAGGCTAGGTCAGAACGGAGAGGAGGTAGAAATTTAATTAATGAACAAAAAACAGACAGAGGATCACTCAGAGGTTCAGCAGGCGGAATCCCCCTGGATTTGTGCTTTGCAGCCCAGAAATAAATGCAATTGGTTTCTCGCCAACAGGTGGCTTGCAGCATCCCAGTAGGTTCTGGTACATCCGTTCAGAACTACTATAATAGGCATCTTCGTATCATGATGCTGATTGTAAGGCATATTGAGCTTTGTTGAGCAAATCAAGCCATGGCTCCCAGCAGTCCATTCCAAGAGCAGTGGTGTAGTGGGGCCATCACACTGGTTTACAGCAGAAATGGGTACTATTATCCAGGTGAAGAAAGGGCTGCACGCTGGTGGAAGGTGGGACCACAGCCAAAGATGTAGCTGGAACTACTCCCTTTCTCTCCTTTCTTTGTCCCTCTTTCTGACAGCCCCTTTTCTCTCTCTTTCAACCTTTCTGCCTTCCTTCCTTCATTTTGGAAGGGGATGCTTCCATTCTCCTTCTTTCTCCCTTTTTCTCCTTGCCCAGTAGGTTCCAGGGAAGGGACACATTCTTCTCACAAGTCATCTACTCGTACACTGATCATTTACAGAAGGGGTTTGGAAGGAGTTTGCTGCTGATTGCCCAACCCTTGTTTACAGGGTGGTTGTAGGCAACCCTGAAACACAAAACCCCCTAATACATTGTGCATTGCGTATTTGGAACACTCTAAAGTGTTATAGCCATTCTGGCTGTCACCCACTAAATGCTGTTTTATTTGATTCATTTATCAATTAACTCTGCATACATTTGCACATGAGAAAGGAAAAAGGAATCTCAAGAAAGAATAGATAATAGATAGATAGACAATGTATAGTTCCACTGGAAGGGGTGTCATTTTAGCAAAAGTAACTCCTCTTCTTTCTCTGGCAGATGGGAATGTCTTTTCCAAGGTGGTTTTTGCTTGATTAAACAAGAACATTTTTCTCAACCAAGTTGCCTTTGCTTAACACACCGAACTGACTAAGCATGCTAGCCCTAACTTTGCTTGCAATCTTGTTCTCATTCCTTTCCCGGTCTCCTCCTTGCTCTGCAGTATCCATGGGTGCCTGCCAGGGGAACTTCAGTGAATTCTCCGGAGTGATCTACTCTCCACAGTTCCCAGATGACTATGAAGCTGACAGCAACTGCAGCTGGGCCCTGCGCCCGCCGGGCTGTGATTCCATAGAGCTCACCTTCCGACTCTTTGACGTCCATGACCCCAACGACCGCCTGGAGCTGTGGGATGGGCACAGCAACCTGCTGCTGGCCCAGTTCGATGGGCGCCGGAGGCCAGGAGCTCCCCTGCTTTTCCCCACTGACTACCTGCTCCTCTCCTTCCAATCAGACCAGCTTCTTCAGGCTCAGGGCTTTGCCATCTTGTACAGAGGTAAGGGCCGAGCCCTTGCCCTGGCCTGCTCTGCGTCTGCCCCATGGGTAGGGTAGACGGGCAAAACCCGTTCATCCTGCATTGAGTAATGCTGCCCCGGTTCTTGGTGGGAGATGCCTCTTTCTCAGAGCCTGCTGCTTCCTGGGGGAGGGCAGTGGCTGCTGCAGGGCGGAGGGGCCGCGTCTCCAGGCCACAACAGTGAGGCCAGAAAGCCTTTATCCCTACGGACCTGCCACTGGCGGTGAGAGCCGGGTGTGTGCTGAGCGCAGGACTGTCTCTGCACACTGGCGCTCGACCCAGGGCCTGCCAAGTGTTCCCTGAGGCTTGCAGCGTTGGAGTCTCTAATTAGAAGCAATTGGTTCCACACCTGCATGGGGAGGAGGACTGTCTCTTTGAACTGAGGCCCTGGGAACAAGGAGGGTTCCTTCTGACAGCCGCTGTCAAACCCTGCAAGTGTGTTCCCTACACTTACTCACCCTCCCCCTGGCTACCGCACCTTTGAAATAACAACCTGATGGCTTCCACGCAACCTAATGGGTTAATTATGGGCAAGTTTCTCCTGACATCCCTTTGAGCTCCTGTGTGACCCCAGGCGTGTAGCCAAAAATGTGTGTGATAGGGAAGGCTCAGGACAAGCTTTGGGGGTGGGGGGGGGAGGGGGGAGCCGGAACAAGTGCAATACACCAAGCACCTCAGTCCAGGAGATCAAACGTGTTGCTGTACAATTGCAGTACATGTTAATAACAAGGCTGGTCCGGAAGATAAGTGTGGTCAGGCACCTGTGCAGGGCACACACCCAGCAGAAGCCCATTGACAAAAGATCCAGGAGTTGCTTTGCTTCACCTGCTTGTTCACCTGTATCTTGCTCTGGCCCAAATAATGGCACTGGTGATTATAATGCTGCTCTCCTGGTACTTTGCTAACCCAGCTCCTCTGCATTCATTGGCCAGAGAACTGGAAGGTTACCTTCTTACTGAACTATGGTGCAGAATATTGCTTGCCTCTCCCACTCCAGAATTGTACCAGAACGTTCACTTATGGAAGCGAACACTACAATTTGAGTGCAAGATTCAGGTGAGGGGCCTAAAGTCACCCAGGGCAGATGAGGTCCCTTGAGGCCACAAGGCTGAAGAACTGGGCTTGGGCAAGAGCAAGGCCTTTCGCTGCCTGAAGTAGAAAGCTAATGGTACCCCCCCCCCCGCCACCTCTAAGTCAGGGTGCCTAGATACCCATGGCTAGCCAAGTTATTTTGGCACCCAAGGCAGAAAATTCCACCCGCTCCCTCCTCCCCTTCCACCTGGCAGTAAAAATACAACACTCATAAATTAAATTGCAAACAATTTTGTATGACACCTGAAATCAGCTGCCTGAGGCAGGCCTTAATGGTAAGGCCTGCCCTGCTAGAGGTTCCTGTATGGGGAAGATGGCAGCTTTCCACAAGTTTCCTATTTATCAGCTGATCCCTCAGGAAGAAATTTTTTCAACTTGGGGATGCCTTGTGTATAGATATATTTTTACATATGGCCACTGTGTAATGCACCACGTTGTCTAGGCCAACACTGCCTAGGGTGACAACTTGGGAACACTGGTCTTAAGGAGAGCAAAAGGATTTGCATAGGTATCTATGAAAATTCAGAAAGAATTCCTATGGTGGAAGCCAAAATACCATGGTGGTGGAATCAGTGGCCTGTATGCCTTCCTCGATCAGCTGTCCAGCTTTCTGAGGACCAATTTCAAGGCTTCTGGGTGTGCTCCCTACTTACATTCGTTAGTGTCAAGGCCAACTTATACAATAGTGGATGCCTTCAAACAGACCAGCCTGATGCTGATATCCCTCAGATGTATTGGAGTTCAGCTTTCAGCCAGCTGCATGTAGGCCAGAACATCTGGAGCTGCCAAGTTGACAAAGGCCAAAACAAAGGGCTCAGAGGACTGTACAGTTGGACACATGGCCACCAGGCCTTTCCTAGACCTACTTAAAGTCTTATCATCACCCTTTCATTGTTCATGAATTGGTCCAACTCCATTTTAAAGCTGTTCAGACTGGTTGCTAACACTACAGATTGGTTGCTAACTTGTGGAAGTAAATTTCACAGCTGAACTTTGTGTTGTGTGAAGACCTTCCTTTTATCTCTCTTGAATCTCCCACCATTCAGCTTCATGCAATGATCCTTTCGTATTCCAGTATGAGATAAGCAGAAAAATGTCTCCCTGTCTAGTCTACTTTCTCTCTCCATGCATAATGTTGTGCATCTCTATCATGTCTCCTCTTATCACCTTCCTAAGCTCAGTGATTCCAACTGCTGTAACCTTTCCTTGCAGAAGGCTTACTGCAGCTCCTTGATCATTCCAGTTGTCCATTTCCGTACTTTGTTGTTGTCCTTAAGAGTATAGTACATTAAACCAGAGACTTTGGGAAAAGGGGTGGGTTTAAATCTGCTGGAAAGTCAATCCATGATTCTGATTTCTGTACAGGAGTGAAGGGTCCTTCAGTCAATTTACGGACACTTCCAGGTGATGCATCCCATCTAGCCCCAACCTCCTCTGATTGGCTGAACTCCACCTGGACCTACAGTGCCAACGATTCCGCCATCGGGGTAGGAGGTAAAGAGCTACACCGGTGGTGGGCTTGTCCTCTGAATCTGCGGTGCATGTTGGGCTGGCTGGCCCAGGCCAAAGCCGAGTCTTTGAGAGGGACATTTTCTTCCTGGCCAAGGGACCTGTGGAGCCAGCATATTACGGGGCAAGAGAGAGCTTATGGGGCACGGCCCTTGGGACTGAGAAATAGTCAGAGAAAGCACAATCCTTGTCCTCCCACTTGCTGGCTCTAAATTTCAGTTTTCTGAGTGACTCTTCATTTTAAATAAACGAACATTGGGACTTCTTACATGCCCTTGCACTTGATGTGTAAAGTGACACTTGAGAAGACACAGATCTTGCAGGATCTCCACATGAACTGACTGACTTTGTCCCTCCTGAGCTAATACTATTAGAATTAGAACTTAGTGATTTGTAAGTGTAGCTTTCGTACTCCTTGAAATAGCCTTTAAAACAGCTGTGGTTTGAGAGAACATATACATGTGAATATACAATAATATACACATGTTTGTGGGGATTAAAAGTAATAATGGCAGGTTAATGCAGAAATAGGACATAATGGACATGAGTGAACATATAAAAAGGGATATGAAAGTACAATGATTTTCCAGCCTGAATAGATAGTGCCCTTCACACCTCTGCAAAACTTGCTGCGGTGCAGTGCAACCCCACTACATACCACCAGGAGTCACCCTCTTTTACCTTTCTGTGTCATGTTCTTTATACTGCAAAGTTTCTAGTCACAGCAAGGCTAAAAGGATATAAAGATCCTAAACGAACTCTCATTCTGGGACAAGGTTCCTGCCCATAAAAAAAGAAAAGGAATGAAAAATCAAAATTGTGCATGCAGGAAAATGGGATTTTATGACCCTTATATTAGACAAATCAAGCATGTTTATGGCTATCTGCTTATTTTGCAGTTTTGTACCTGCTAGTCAGAGGAACAGGAGAGGGCTGGGCAGAGCCATGAAAGCTCACTTCCTGCTTTGGCTTCTGCGGGAAAGGCTGGTTGGTTCCCATCCCATCTGGCCTTCCCCAGGCAATTTCAGACCTATTTGTGCATGCAAAGGGACTGGGAACATTAAAAACCAAAAAAGCAAGTTGCTCAGGTTTTATAAATGCTTATGTAGCACAATCAAAGAACTCTGGAATTTGCACGGTCGGTCTTATGCATCTCGACTTTGCTGATGTGCTTATATTTCCTGCCTGCCAGCATCTATGCAAAGCTTTGTACACCCAAAGAGCGACTCACAACACACCCACAGACAATTAACATCCCTTATTTGAGTTGGCACCATGTCTGGAAAACTCCCCTTTCTCCTGGCCTATATTAATCAGTCACCAACAGCATTTTCATGGGCCCTGCTTTTGCTGCATCCCTGCTTTTGCTGCATCCCTGCTTTCCACCATCTCCTGGATATTGAAATTGGATAATAAATTTGACACTGTCCATAATAAAGGTTTTGCAATTGTGAAGGCTCTCAAAGGTGCTTTTACACTGTAGGGTCAAACCTCTTTAAATCAAATGCCATTTCAGAGACGTTCAGGAATGAGGGGTCACATTCGACGGGTGGATGGGGCCGTAGGAAAGAGTTGGGGCCGACTGTTGCAAACATATCAGCCTGCCTGAGCTTAAAGCTCTTACTGTCAGGGCTGTAATGCAGGGGAGGGGAACTTCTTTGAGCCCAAAGACCACCATCCGTTTCAGTGAAGGCCAACGGTGGGCCAAAGGCAAAGTGACAGGTGCCAAAATATCAGCATATTTTATCTGAAAGCTCTTACTGTCAGTAACTAAGCCTGGGAGAGGGATTTTAACCTTTTAGAATAGAGGAGAACTGTACAAAAGCCAGCAAACCACCATGAAACAATCACTGGTTGGAGACAAGGAGTAAAACCAAGGGGGTGGGGGTGTGCCCAGGTCCAGCTTAGAGCTCTGGGAGGGCCAGATCTGGCTTACTAGGCTGTGGTTTAACACCCTGGTTTTAAATTATCCCTCTTGGCCACAGACTTGGAGTTCTGTGATCTGATCTACTATCTCCTTAATTGCTAGGGCAATTTAGATTTCTAATGTAAACTTTCCTGTTCCCAAACTACTCTGGAATGTTTCTTTTTGCTGTTAGGGAAAACCTATGAGTACATCTAAGTTTCCTCTAGTGGGGTGAATGGCAATTTCAGGGGAGTGATTTACATCTGGAAAAAATTGTAAGGGCAGATCATTATCATCCTTCCTACCCCATATATCAGATTCCCAGTGTTCCCACCTTTTTTCCTTTTCCCTTTTAATTTAAAAAACAGTTAAAAAACAAAAGTTATGTGAGTTTTGATTGTGGACGATTTGACTGACTCAGATGATTTAGCATGTGCATAACACAGCAAGTACAATAAAATTTTATCCAGAATGCACAGAACGGCTTTCTTTACCAAGCCAATGTTGCTTAGCACGTTACAAAGAAAACATAAACTGGAAGGGGAAAACATCTCTTTAGCTTTTGCAGCCCTCCAAAAGAGTGGTGTTTTCCCTTTACAGGTGATCCTGCAGGCTAAATCTTCAGCCTATCTTGACAAAAATTTGGTGGGGACACTGACAGGGAGTGGAGACAGGCTTTGCAGATCTAGGCTAGTGTAGTCTGTTCCCTGATTTAAATTATGCTCATATTGAGAGCAGGACTGATGGCTTTTCTTTCCTTTTATAAAGGAAAATTTAACTTTTTGGGAGAGACTGTTGTTTTTTTTTTGAAGGAGCCTGGTGCTAGGAGTGAGCACATCCTCTTACCCACATTACTTCAAGAATTTTGGTGGAAAGTTGTTGGCCACAAATGTCTTCTTCTCTTCTGTAACACAGCTTGGGTGATGTATGCGGCCACGGGGACCTTCATCTTAGCCATCATCATCATCTCCTACCATCTGCGCAAGAGGTAGGTTGGTGGGAGCCAGGGGAGGGAGCCTGGGAGATGCCCCACTAGATCTGCTTGCTGTGCCAATTGCGTGCTCTCTGGTCCTGTTTTTTCTCCTGCCTGTCCATGCCTCAGGCCACTGTGAGACTTGTACCAGCATGATCTTCCCTCACCCTGGGATGGGGAACGGGGACCCACCAGGTGCCACTGAACAGCAGTTTTCATCATCCCTCAGCACTGGTTACATTGGATAGTGCTGGACATGTCCCTCCCGCTTGGCCTATGTAATGAAGATGCAACATTAACATTATAATATTAATAAAGATGAAATATTAATATACACTATGAATCACATACCCTGCAATTTGTTTACAAAAATTCATTGAAAGGTTTAGGCTAAGGGTAGGCAATTTTCTGGAGTTCAGGTGACATTGCTCATCCCTACTGTGGACTCTCCCTTGGCTCCATCACCAAATTTGCTTCTGAAATTTGGCAGTGCAGCAACAAGGGGAAATTAAGCTTCGATTTTAAAGCAACAAGCAAATTTGCTGCAAAACAGATCCTTTTCCGAGCTGCTCTTGTGGCTTTTTGCTTTAAAAAGGAACCCCTTTTTCATGTTTCAGAAATGTGCTGCTTAATTTTGGGGGGAAGTGGAGAAGGTACAAAAAGAGCAAATGTGATTGCAAAAACTCTATAGAAACAATAGAATTGACTCCTCAGGCTCTGAAATGATCTAATTCCACTTTTAAAATTCCAGTTCAAGGAACCACAAATAGAATCCTTTGATTTCAAGGGGAAATGTGATACATGCAGCCCATCCCTGGTTTAGCTAAAGCAGAAGGTATAAAGTATAGAATTTTGCCTAGTTAATATATAAATCTATTGCCATAAATCATTGACGACACAGGCAATTGGCCTATAATTTGCCACATCATGTATTTTCCTTTATTGAACTTCATGTGCAGTCAAGGAACTGTGCAAGTGCTGAATGTCGCAGAACGTGTGAGTGCGGCTGATGTCATAAACTCTCAACTCACCCGGTGGCGTTGTCTGTGCTCCTCTTTCCCAGGACTTGCCTCTTTGTGCAGAAGAAGCCCGGTGGGTCCCTGGTCCCTTTCTCCTCCAAAGGCCCGCGGAGCCGCTGCCAGTGCCTTGGGGGCGAGGCGTGGGCCGTAGCCTACCGACATACCCGCGTGGTGATCTGCACCACACGGGGTGCTCCGCATCACCGCCCCCTGCACAACAGCGGCGGGGGTGCCGGGGACGACGAGGCCTCCTCGGACTGCTCGTGCCTCTGCCACAGTTACGAGAACCTGTCTTCCACCAACCAGTCCTCGCTCAAGTCTCTCATCTCCACCATCTGAGGCGAGGCTGACGATGCCATTCCCACGTCCCACAGTGGCCTTTGGGCATGTTAGCCTCTTTCCTACTGCCTGACCCTTGAGGTGGGACTTCCTCAGTCCTCCAGGGACCAAGAGACTTGGACCTCACAACGGCATTTCTGCTCAGTGGCGTGAGCCAGGGGAGCGCAAACATAATGGAAGTCAATGCCCAGAGTGGCCCTAGGACAACATTCCAGAAAAATGGAAAGTCGTTTGATACCAGGCAGGCATAGCCATGTTCCCCTGTAGCTGTGATCTTCTAAGGGGCAGGAGAGGACTAAGGTGGTGGGGACCCTGTTGCCACGTACTTTTGGCTAGAGACTTGTGGGTGTATTTTGGAACTAAGAGGTTAATTATGGTGCTGGAATTTGGAAAATGTTTTTTTCTGGGACAAAGACATCCCCATTGGAACACCTTTTGTACCCCATGACACCATGGGGAAATTTAGGACTGTGAAAAACCAAAGGAGTTGCGTTTCTGCAGAAAAGTACATTGTGTGAGACACAAAAAACCTGGGAACTGGGGGCCGGGGAAAGGGAGAGATCCTGTGACCACATGGCTGGAGGCTTAAGAGGAGGGAGAAAGGGACCGATTCCACAGAGAAAGTGGTCATGCTTTGGATTCTGCGTGCTGAATCAGAACCCCTTGTGCTGAACCCGTTGCCAGTGGCACTTGGAAGCTATCTCGATGCAAACAGATCGTGGGATACTTGGAATGGTTCCTTGCCTGGCTCCAGGGGGCTCTATAAATATGCCTAACAGAGAGGAGATAAAAACCAGCCCCTTTTTTCTGCTGCTTCCCACAGGCATAATATGGATTTTGGAACATTAAACTGCCATTAAATTATTTTCATATTGGTGAGAATGCTTCTCTGTTATTGTCTGAGCTTATCTGCAACACTGGAATGTGGTTGGGAGGAGGGCATCAAATGTTTAAAGGGTTCTTGCTTTCCTGGATTGAATAACTAACTAAAATATTCAGCCACTGCAAGGCAGGTACACAGAAATTTACCTAGGCTCAGAGGAGGCTGCCCGTTGTCCATTGAGTCACTGTTCTGGGTATTCTCCTTCCAAAAAGGGTACAGGAGAGGGAAACCCAAGTGGCTGAGGGGGGGAGAAACTCCCTCTTGAGGAATGGATAGATGGTTAGGGCTATTTAGCTCTGAAAAAAAGGCAGGAATCCGGAGGACACAATAAGAGGGTTATAAACTGACATATGAGGTGGAGAAGGTGGATCGGGAAGCAAACTTTTCCTTCATAATACTAGGAACCAGGGTGATATAATGAAACTGAATGGTGAGAGATTCAGGTTGTGTTCACACATAACACTAAGCAATACCATGAAGTTTATCTATTTACCTTGTGTCATGTATTTACACATAATGACAAGCCATTCCTGCCATGTGTATGTGTGAATACAGCCTCAGGTTAGGAAAAAAGGGCAACATTTCTTCACAGAACACATACTTAGGGACTAAGTTCACATGTCATTAAATATGTGGTTGAGGATGCTGTAAGCATTGTATGCAGAGTGCTTTGGGGGCAGAACGGCCACCGTAGGGCAAGTTTAAATCTTCCTTCCCTCCTCCCGCAGAGCAATCTCACTGGGCCTCATGGATGCTTTCCCCATGATGCTAATTGTTAAACCTCCCCTCTCCCTGTACTTCAATTCCACAATAGACACCCTCCCACATCTGTTGGTTTTTTAAAAATCCAAGACATGATTGCTTACTAGTCACGTAATTAACATCACTGGTAGAGAGACCCTTAAAGTATGGCATTTGATACCACAAGATGTGGTGATGGCCAATTTGAAAAGGGGATTAGGTGACTAGTCCTGGGGCAAGCTTGCTTATCTACTGCAGTAGCCTCTGGATCCCAGCTGCTAGGGCCACAAATAGAGAGCACTATTGCATTCATGCCCTGTTTTCAGGCTTCCTACTGGGGCATCCAGTTGGCCACTTGGGAGCAGGTTGCTGCATTAAGACAACTTTTCTTCTGCTGCAGCATAGCTCTTACATTCTTCATCAGGAAGCAGAACACCTACTGCAAAGAGTCTCCACCAGGAGTTCGTATATATTCCAAAGAAAGGGTACAGAACCTTTGGGCCAAATCCAGATTTTCTGGGATCCTGATCCACCCCAAAAGGCTTTTCCAGGGAGTTGTGCCCTCTTACCCTGGCCCTACCACTGTCTCGAGTACCAGTTGTTGGATGCTTTCCTGGCTTTTGCAGTTTTCCTCTATTCTAAAAAGCTGTATTTTAAAAAATAAGAGCTTTCAGCTAAGATATGCCAATATTTTGGTTATTTTTGGCCCTGTTTCCCTTTAGTCCTGTCTGTCATTGGAATGTGCCTCCGCCCCCAAGCTTCTCTAAAATGGATTTTGGCCCTTGAGTTGAAAGAGTTTCAATCCCCCTGCTTTCTCTGTGTGTGGAAATTTGCCTTAGCTACCCTTTTAAAACAACACTCCTTGCTTGGACTATGTGGTGCAGGGAATACTAAAGGGGGAACTGGATCTCAAAAGCAGTTTATATAGATGCTTATTGTAAATAACAAGTGTGGAAAACTAATCTGGGATTTTCTCTCCAAGTGAGTGGCATCCTTAGAGAGCAAGTGTGTGTGTGTGAGAGAGAGAGAGAGCGAGAAAGCAAGAGATGTGAAATGAGTTGCTTTCAGTCATCTTTAAGCACCACACAGAGCTGTATATTTCTTTATCCAAAAGAAAACTTCCCCTTACATATTTTGATTTTGAGTTGTTATTGTTGCCAGGGCTGACTGTAAATCTAAGCCCATTGCTTTGGGATGTTTTCGTTCTAGAGCCTGGTCCTAGAATATGTGAAGCAATAAAAAGACTGCCTCTGAGCATCGTGAAGTGCTTTCCTTCGCAACTAAATAATTATTGCTACGGCCGGCAGGTGGAGTAGATGGTTTGGCAGAGACTCCTGTGCTGGGGCCATGGCCTTAGCTGGCAGACACCACAGGTTACCTTTTCAAATTTTCCACAATACGCTGGAGCGACACTTCATTGAGGGATTTTTAAAATGATGGCCTGCAGATCCAGCCGCCCCACGCAGAAGCCCAGGGAAGGTCTCAGCACTGATGAGCCGTTCCAGAGGGCTGGAACACCGGCAGCCACAGGTGCTGGGTGCTAATGCCACGGCTGACGACCACTTGGCACAACATATCCCACCTTCAGGTTAAGAACTTCCAAGGAGAAAACGTAATGTGCAGGCTCGCCAAAGTTTGAGCACCTTCTTTTGGAAATGTTCACTATGCAATGCAGTTTCCAACACAGGGGATTGTGTGGATCACAGTTGATACGGGAGGCAAAGTACCAAGCACTAATAGTTTAATATGTTCTTGCAACCGCACAGGCAGCGCACCCTTTTCACACAAGACGCTGCTTTTTATTCCCTTTTCCTGGCTCACAGACCCTGCCTCTTTCTCCCCATTGGCTGGGTTACTAAGAGTTCACCATCTTCTCCTCCCACCTACATCTTACTACTCCTTGATATGTTCTCCCTCCCGCTCATTACCATGTTCATGCTAATAAGCCCATTACCTATGAGAGGTGTGTCAGTTATTATTCATAAGCCTATTAAGTGTGTGCACTACTTTCTAAGAGTTCACTAGGTTGTCTTGGCCTTGTAACCATCTCGCTTGATGACCACTTATTTCCCAAATCTCATAGGAGGATGAGATAGGAAGCTAGTCCATCCTCCAAGCTCATTACGGCCAGTCGTAAGAGGCAGTCGATTTCCTGCTCCCTTCGCAAAAGGGGATGGTTTTGCCATTGCCCCCCACCTCACCTCACCTCACTTGTGTTCTTCAGGGCTTCAATGTAAGAAGCACTATTATTTTTGTTACAACTTTCTACATGGTTCTGTCCTCAGGCCCTTTATTTCATCCTGGCTTCAATCTTCACCTTCCGACTTAGTAACAGTAATTTTTCATTTCTCACCATTGGATCCAGTTTTATTCTGGGTCAACAAACAGCTAACTGGACTGCTCTACCTGTGCCTTTTCATAGCGGACTGTTTGGCTCTCCTGAAAGGGCCACCCAGAAGGCTGGAAAACCTTGCTCAATGGGGTGAATAGTGTTGTAATGATGAGACCGGTATCGCCAAAAATTGGACGGAGCAACCTGCGGCAAGCAGAGTTCTTCCTCCTATGGAAGGCAGTTCTTGGATCCCAACCCACTGTGGTTTCCTGGCTTTTCTTCTGAAGTTTAAATGAACACGCTCCAATTTGAAATGAGCTCAAACCCTGATTATGGTTCACAGAAACATGTGATTATAACTTCATGTACCATATCCCGTGGAAAAAGCAAAACAGACCAAAAATATAATTAACATTCAACCATACATGTGTGCATGCACATGATATAGATTGTTTAATTCAGGTTAAATAATAACGTCTGGGAATATAATGACTTGGAGAACCATTCATGGGCAGAGAGTGTAGATTTAGAGCAAAAATAGACCAAAAATAAAAGAAACAAAGAAAGAAAGAAAATAAAATAAAAAGTTCTACAACTGCCAACATTTCCAAAAGAGCTGGGCATTCAATAGCTATTTTCTGACTAAACATGCATACAATTGTGTCCTTATCATTTAAAGGAAGCACATTCAAGTTTTAGAAGGAAGTTTTGTGTAAGGAAGGGAAGTATGGAAGGAGCAAAGAGTTCCTGCAGTAGTTACCTTCCTTTTTGGAGGATGATACTTTGCCAAGCTCCATACGCTGCCAGCAACCCACTGAACAGAGATTCTGACAGCCGAATCGTGCATATTGGATTGATGAGATACTAACAGTAATTAATGATGTCTTTCCCACTAGGTTTCCTTACATTCTGCAGAGGCAGGAGGTTTCTAGAGCACTCAATATTAGAGTGAAAACAGTTTAGGCCTGTATACACATAACCTGGGCCTTGGGTCACATATAGAAAGCATGACTAATCAGGAAATACGCAGAAAGCTACTATTACAGACAGAGCAAATATTGTTACAGTGTCCCCAATCCAATCCTGGCCTTTACACTCAATTCCTATTACATTTATGAGGCGTACTTCCTCCGCAGCTCAATTTTATGTTATTTATTATTTGATTTCTAGCCTGCGCCATAAGCTGCACAACTCCCTGGGCAGGTTACAAGCAATAAAACCATATAAAAACAATATAAAACCTTTAAAATACTTTATCAGATAAAAGTAGCAATAAAAAGCGCACCCTATCACATCTTAAGAGAAACTACCTAAAAGGCAAACCACATTAAAATGCACACAATGAAAAACAGACTGACAATTAAAATGCTGGCAAAATTAAAAGGTCTTTTGGCTGGTGCTGAAAAGAATGTAAAGAAGGCACCAGGCGAATCTCTCTGGGGAGCTCACTCCAAAGTCAGGGTGCCACTTCTGAAAAGGCCCTTCTTCTTGTTGCCACTCTCTTTATTTCCTGAGGAGGGGGCTCCCTCAGAAGGGCCTTGCTGATCTAAGGGGCTGAGTATGTTCATATGGGAAGTGGCACTCCTTTAGATATCCTGTCCCCAAGCCATTTAGGGCTTTAAACTCTAATGTCGACATCTTATATTGGGCTGTGACCTCTGTGGAATGTAGAACCTAGAGGCCACTAAGACATGCTGAACTGTGGAGCGGGAAGAAATTCATTCAGACCTCAGCTCTGGCAAAGTCTCACCTGTGGCCTTAGGCAAGCTGTTCTCGGTCTCAGTTTTCCATCTGTAAGTTGCGGATAATTAGATAGGGTGGTCAGGTGCCCTATTTGCAGGGGACAATCTTCTATTTCACTGGCTGTCAGGGGACAGTCCTCCAGCTGAATGCAGTTCTAAATGGTCTAGCTCAGTGATGGTGAACCTTTTAGAGAACGAGTGCCCAAACTACAACCCAAAACCCACTTATTTATTGCAAAGTGCCAACACTACAATAAAACCTGAAAACTGAGGTTTTAATTTAGAAAAAACAACTCACAGCCAGTCAAGCAAATATATATATATATATACTTGGCAGTGCACTGAGCAGCCATGCAAAAGCTCGGATGAGTCGCGGCTAATGAGTCGTGGCTCGTGACGTCATCGCTTGGCGCTGCTACTCCTTTCTGAGTGTGTACATGGCCCCTCTGTGCGCTGTTATCCGATGCTCAGCTGCTGGGGCGATGCTGGGGCGACTTGTCTCACGTGCCGAGAGAGAGGGCTCTGCCTGCCCGCTGTGGCACGCATACCATAGGTTCACCTCCACTGCCCTAACCCTACCCTGGTGCACTCCCCTAACCTTAATACAGGGCTAAAGTTCAATTGAAAAGAGGGCGATTTTGAAAAAGCCTTCCTTGAGTAGCTTTTTCTGCACAGCTCAACATTTCTGCCCATTCTAAACACAATCCAACCATCAAAATCATGCCAGGACACCTCGTTTTTGTAAGCCTACATCACCCTGCTGACAAAAGAGTGTATAGTCAAGGCTATGCTTATCCCAGTTGCAATGTATGGCTGTGAAAGCTGGACCATAAGGAAGGCTGAGTGCTGAAGAATTGAGGCCTTTGAATTGTGGTGATGGAGAAGATTTCTGCGAGTCCCTTGGACTGCAAGACAATCAAAGCAGTCAGTCCTAGAGGAGATCAACCCTGACTGCTCTTTAGAAGGCCAGGTACTGAAGATGAAACTCAAATACTTTGGCCACCTCATGAGAAGGAAGGACTCACTGGAGAAGAGCCTAATGCTGGGAACAATTGACGGGAAAAGAAGAAGAGGACGGCAGAGGATGAGGTGGCTAGATGGAGTCACTGAAGCAGTCGGTGTGAGCTTGGGTGGACACCTGGGGATGGTGGAGGACAGGAAGGCCTGGAGGAATGTTGTCCACGGGGTCGTGATGGGTTGGACACAACTTCGTGACTAACAACAACAACAAACCCTACCCTGGTACACACACCTACCCTAATACGACCTCATCTTCCCAACAAGGCTGTGTAAGGCGTACTGAAACAGTGTTTGTGTGAGAAAGCGCTATATAAATGCTTAGGGAAGTATTCAACGCACGATTGCCTAGTACAGATAGCATTGTCGCACTAGAGGCAGGGACACGATTTAAAAAGGAATTCAAGGAGAGGCGTCTTCAGCTGATGCTGTTGCAACCAGTACGCAGTTCTGGGACGCGACTTTATACGAGTAAGGCATGAACTTCGCAGCACACCCTCCAGCCTTTGGGGGGCGCTTTTGGCCCGCCTTGAAGAGATACAATTGGGCCTCTTTTCCGCGCGTCTACGCGCGCCCAATCACCAGCCTCGCTGGACAAGCTGCTGGGGGCGTGGCCTCTATGAGTTATGCAAATAAAGGGGCGTTCCGTTAATACTCTGCTCGGGCAGAAGGAGGGGCGCCAGTTATGCTAATCAGGGAACGACACTTCTCCCACCCGGGGGATTGCTAGGCGCCGGAGACGGGGTGGGCGCGGCTTGCATATGTTACTTCTTCAGATTTCGGCTTTGCACGGTAGAGAACCTGACTCGGGCAGCCCACGTGTGCCAGCAGCCGCCATTGCGGCGCAGAGATTCCGCTAAGGAGCGGCCGGGCTGGGCGCGCTGCAGGCAGGAGGCGTGGGAAAAAGGCGGCGGTAGGCGACACTCGCATCTATTATGTTAATGAGGAAAGGGGCGGGCCTGGATTGTGAGCTCAGTCCCGGGGAGGGGAAATAAGCGGGCGGGAGCCCAAGGAGGAGCCGCTGGTTGCAGCATCAGCAGCCCCAAGAGGAAGGAGGACGAAGAGGATGCCAAACCCGGCCAGCAGCTGACCCCGGGGGGGGAGCCCGGCCATGGCCTTCCTGGGGGGGCCCCGGCTCCTGGACTGGGCCAGCTCCCCCCCTCACCTGCAATTCAACCGCTTTGTGCTGACGGGCTACCGGCCGGTCAGCTCCGGGTCCGGCTGTCTCCGCAGCCTCTTCTACCTGCACAACGAACTGGGCAACATCTACACCCACGGTGAGCCGCTGCAGCCTCGCCCCCTCAACCCATGCTTCTCCAGCGACGACTCTGCCTTCCCTTACACCCCACCCGTCCGCGCTTCCCCCGCAGATTCCCCGCTCCTGATCTTTTTATACAGCCTGCTGGTCGCCCTGTAGGGCCCTCCTCACGAATGCAGCGCTTGTCTGCCCGCCACGCTGGACCCCGCCGGGAGAAACCTGGCAGTGCCCCGAACTGCAGGAGCTTCCCTTCCTTTTCTCTTCCTGCACCCTTCCCCTAGTACTGCTGCATCTTGACATATCCGCATTGTTTTGGATGATTGCAATAATAATAATAATAATAATAATAATAATAATAATAATAATAATAATAAAAATAGCATAATTTCTATTGCACCAGTCTGCCCGCATCCCCAAACACCCCCTCCCAGGGCCTGTATCTCCCCCACCTCCTGCCCCAAACGGCTTGGAAGACCCCAGCGCCCAGTTTCGCCCCTCTTTTCTCTCTGGGCTTCAGCTCCATTGGCACTTGGAGAAAACTGGAGTTGGCACCAGAGTAATGGCTGGAGGGTCATTCGAGGGCTCCGTATGTTTTCCTGCCCCTCATGTAGCAGCTGCACTGCAAACCAGCCTCCCGTGGAGGATGTAAGTACTTGTCCCTCCTTCAAACATGCACCTCCTTTCTCTTGCCCCAGGTCCCAGCGTCTGTGTTTCCTGAACTTCAGGGTGTATTCATTTTACTTTATGGCATCTGTTGCTGACCAGTGACCCTACAAATCATGAAGAATTAACATGCCTTCCTGGGCTGTTAGTTTGCCAGAGTTGGGATAAAGTTGATGAGCTTTGTTGAGTGGCATTGGAGGGGTTTCAGTTAGTAAAGCTTTGTTTGGCAACCGTAACTTCATATGCTGTGTGTTTCTAGGGTGAACCTCTGACTTCTTGAAAAGAGGGGTCATTGCATGTGGTTTGCATGCTGAAGGCCTCAGGTCCCAAACTTGGCCAGTCCAGGACCTGGAAAGGACCTTGGATAGGGATGGAGGGAAGGTGCCTCCCCGGGGGCCTTGGGTTAGGTGGGCCACAGATCTGCAGCTCATGGAGAGACTGTGCAAGTAAGCTGTTTGTTGGTGCAAGACATATTGGGGTGGATGGGAAGGCTTTGGAGAATAAAGGTCCCCTTGGCACGTACGGTTCAGTGCCTTTGGCCCATGGTGAAAGTGAACGGGAAAGGCGTGCATTGGAATTCCTCTTCCATTCAGTGCTAAGCTTGAGTACCAGTGAAATGTGACCAGAGTCTTGGCAAAACATACAGTGTGCTTTTGTCATTGCTTTCAGTGAGAGGCTGCCCGGAGAGATACAACTCCAGGTTATGCTAGAGTGCACTACACAGACAGCAGACTGCAAATTCCATGCTATGCTGGGTTGGTTGGGTGGGAGTGATTCTGCATTTGTGTTTGACTTGCATGTGGGAAGAGGAAGGGAAAGTTTGGCAATGCAAGTCTTCTGGAGTTTTGTTATTGCTGAGTTTAGCTTCCTCAATTCAGCCACAGGAGTGACTAGTCCTCATCATCACTGCTCTTTTCATCTGCACATTGCCCCACAGATAGAGTGTGAATCATTTTGTAACACATTTGATGGCTAAGGCATAGTCTGAAGGCATTGGGTGCAGCCAGCTCTCTGGAGCTAAGCAGATGTGAAACTGGTTGAAAGGCTGCCTGGGAACACTACAGAAAATTGCTTTGTATTTTTCAGTGTAATAAGTAAGAAATGGATCAGTCAGGGCAAAATCACTGAGATATTGGGAGCATGGAAAAACTTTATAGGCACATAAGGTCTGGACAACTTTGTAACCCCGTGAGAGTGGTGCAGTTAGGTGAGGTTAGATGCTGGGGTAAGTGGTCCTAATGGTTAGACTCTGGGCCCAGTTGGCTCCCTGGACTCTGCTCTAAAGGCCTGCCCTGTGGACACCACTGACTTGGTACACTTCCTGTTCCTGCTGCCAAGCTGGAAAACAGGGGCATTTCTAAGCACCTACCAGGTCACCACAGAGGGCTGCTGGGGCTGTGCTTGGCTTGCTGGATCACAAATTGGGCAAACCGGTTTTAGGCTGATGTGGGAGAAACAACATGTACACATATAGCACTTTTTGAGTGTTTAAAGCACTTCATGGCCAATGGGACTTGGAGATCTGGGTTCTCATCTCTGTGCATCCATGAAGCTCACTGGGTGACTTGGGCCAGTCACTGACTCTCAGCCCATCCTACCTTGCAGGATTGTTGTTTTGGGGATAACATGGAGGAGAGTATAAAAATCACCTTGGATTCCTTGCAGGAAGAAGGCATGATCGAAATATAATAAAATAAATCCTTACAACAACCTCATCAGGTCGGATGATTTTATTATCTCTGTATTGGCTCTTCTGAGGCTACTTAGTGAGTTTCTGGTTGGGATGGAACTTGAACCCACAATTTCTTAGTTCGCATCTTGCTACTATGTTGTGGTAGCTCTTATATTTGAAAGGATACCAAGGACTCACTCCAGAGCTGTATTTATAGCCCAGGTCAGTATATTTAGTCCTTCTGGAATATTGCAAATCCAATTCCTGGACATTCACTCAATTATTTTTTACTGTTTAAGTTTTTTAGTCTTTTCCTTGTGGCAGTACAAGAAAAACCACAAGGCAGGCTCTTTCCACTAAGAATTAATACAACTAAGTAATTTTAGACCTGTTAAGCTGCCTGTAGTTGTGTTCTGGTTATGCTGCAAGAATTATGCAGCCCTTTAATTACTGGCTGTGGGAACCTTTCCCAGAATTTGAGATCTTGATACAGGGACCAAAGCCTAGATCATCAGAAGAAGTAATATCTGTAATCCCAGACTGTCTTCTTGGGCACTTGATGTAGCTACTTTGCCAAAGTTGGTGTCTGGATGGGAACTCCATGTACGCCAACTTAAGGTCACAACAGAAGAAAGATGGAATATAAGTGTGCTACATCAGTAAATAAGAGTAAAGAATAAAGTACCTTTGAGCATGTGCGGAGTGCCTTTCCCTTGGCATCAAGCCACCACAGAAACTCCCTGCACACCAGGGCTTGAGCTCTCGGCTATTGTTTCCTGGCAGCTTTTGGGAAACTTAGCACTGGTTTTTCACAGTCCCTTGTGGGAAATCATGTTTCTGCTGCAGGCAAGTGCATTTGCCTGGGATACTGAAAGGAGCAGGGGAAATGAGGCTAGCTGGGCAAGGGAGTGAGCTGCTTGGGTGGGGGGTGCGTCTTCCCAGCTGTCTTTGTGAGCCCACAGAGGAACTGGTTTCAGTGAAGGAGCAATGCCTTTTTTACACCGTTTCTTATGTGTCAGCCTGCTAAATAGTGGGCTGCGGGAACTCATTGTGTGGAGCAGAGCAGTGGGCTCCATTTCAAACCCGTGCATATGTTGAAACTGATTTTCCTGAGTGCTGCAATCTAGGCAGGATGTTTTCACAACTTCTGTGGCTTCAGGCTGATCTGACTTCAACTCTTTGCTTCTTGTATTGAGTGTTTCTTCTTGTATTAAGAGTGTCTTGAAGGAATGGTATAGTACCACTACTACTTTAGTTTTATTCTTATATTGTTTTTCTTATTACTTTATTATGTAGCCTTTTTAACTCTTGCAAGGAACCCAAGGTGGCTTATGTAGCCCTCGTATTCATTTTATCCTAACAACAGCCCTGTGAGTGGGTTAGGCAGAGAGGCCGTGAGCTGCGTGGCCAAATGGGGCTGGAACCCCGGTCTCCCAAGCCCTAGGCCAGCACAGTACAGTACAGCTCTGGCTCTTTTGAGTGCTGCCAGCGCTTGGCTACATCCCAAGCAGCCTTGCATTGGTTGAAGCCTTTGATCCATGTTGCCCACTCTGTGCTGGCCTCTGACTGGCAGCAGCTCTGCAGCATCTCGAACAGGGACCGTTCCCAGTGCCATTACCAAGGGAGCCTCTCCCTTGGACCTGGGGCCCATGTGTGTGCATATGTGCTTCCACCAAACACTGGGCCATTCTCTGTCTGTGTGGACACAGTGGGCACATTTTATTATGCTGTAGTAAGCACTGTTGTGCTCATTTGCTTTCAAGTGTATCTCTGTAACAATAAGGGCTAGAAACTTGCGCTTTAAAAAGCTGGAGGAAGTTTAGATTCAAGGAACCTTGATTCTGTGCTTGGTGTTATATTCTTCACCCCCCACCCCCATGGAATTAGGGCCTACCCATTGCTCCCAGGTGGCTTTTACACGGAGTTTTGTTTGTGATCTGGCACATGTTGACAACCAGATCCCTAACGAGGCAGGAAATTGTCTTTGGCCTTCTAGTATCAAACGAGGACAAAGAGCGTTGAGGAAGCAAGGAGCAATTACTGTTGTGCAAAGTGGTGAAGGGCGGTTAGAGGGCTCCAGTGATCCTTTGCCAACAAGGCAGCTTTGCAATAGAGTTGCACACTTCAAAGTTTCAAAGAAAGCAGTATGAGTAAGCAGTCAGTGTCTAAAGCGTGGTCTGCCTGAGGGGAGTGTGTGGGTGTTTCACGGATCAATATCCCACACAGACGACAGGCTCCCTGGCTTTTGTTTTTGCCTGTGCTCAGAAGAGGTTCAGGCGCTGGATGAAAGCAGCACATTTCAAAGCCCTCAATGAATGGGATTCTTTCCACATTGGCTTATCTCTCAGGGCACCTGCCATGGAAGCCTTGTGGGTTGCCAGGGCTTCGGAGCCAAACCGTCACTTCCCATAAACTGAACCCACACGAAGGCCTTGCAGGTGCTCCTCCCTGGGGAGAGGCCGGGTCAGCGGTGGACTCTCAGGGAGCTTGTCTGTCATTTTCTGTCCTTCCCCTCAGCGAATTCAGGGAAGTGGGGAGAGAAGCACTGTTGAAAGGCACTGGGTTGGAGGGGTCTCTGTGGGGTGGATACATGAAGCAAGGCATCTTTCTTTAGAAACAAGGTGTTTGCTTAGGGGAAGCCTGTTCTGCTGAGCCAGGTGGAATGCTGAGTGTGTGTTTAAGCT